CTCATAAAGAAGGAGACTCACACAGATCCCAGTGAAGGAGATGATTGATCCCTGTGATCTTAAAGGTTATAGAGTGTTTAATTCTACCCTGCTTTTAAATGGATGCTGTCTTAAATAGTTAAAAAAAAAAAAAAAAAAGAATTGTGGCTATCATAACTTTTTGGGAAGTAGTGTTATCATCAGTGTCCTATGTATTAATGAAAGTGATGGGACATCAGTGTTTTATTAAAATTCCACTGGCTTCAGTTAGCTACCTCAAATATGAAGCACATGCTTTCTCAATTAATTGAGTGTATATATGAGTATATGTACTCCTAGCATGTTTTTCTGTTAGTGTTAAAAGGTAAACAGCCACTCACCTTTTAAAAAAAAAAAAACCAAATGTTTTATTTTCCCAGTGAGTGCAGCACAGAGCTGCTGAACACAGTTGATAACTATGCAGTACTGCAGCTGGATATAGTGTGGTGTTACTTCCGCCTGGAACAGCTGGACTGCCTGGATGATGCAGAGAAAAAGTTGACCACAGCCCACAGGTGCTTCCAGAGGTGCTATGGGGAGAACCATGAAAGACTTATTGATATCAAGGTATGCTGATTTTATTCAACTAGGGTGGCTTCGTTTTTTTTTTTTCTTGCATCGATTCACTTACTGTTCAAATATTCCAGGGCTCTATTCTAGAAGATTAAAGCTTTCTTGTGCTTCCCTAGCTGATTATGTTGTTGTGTCATTGTGAAAGCAACGGGCTTGACAAGGTCACAGCAAATAGTTTCTACGTGTAGATTTTGCTGTGACACTTTATTTACATACTGAGCTTTGTATTTTAGTGACTAAAGTTTCATTAAATATGTATAATGTTCTATTAATAATGAATGGATGTTCTAACATATGCTTATCCCCTTCTATCCTTTGTTCAACAATTCTTTAGGGAAGCTATGGCCGTGAGAAGGTTTTATTTCTACGGCTTTATCTTCTTCAGGGAATAGGACACTATCACAGTGGCAGAGAAAAGGAGGCTGCTGAGTACATCCAGAAGGTGAGGCACCATTAGGGAGAGCTTTCAAGTTGTTTGCACTAGGAACTTATTGAAGGAAATATGTTCCTGTGTTTGGACTACATGTTCTGCCTTCTACCTGTTCACTGCTTACTCAGGAAAATGGGGAGATTTTTTTTTTCCATTTACATGTTAGCAACAGTGTTAGTGATGTCATGTTGTTCATTTACACACAGGCATCTCATTTGTATGAAGAACTGTACATAGATCCAGAAAAAGTTTATCAACTGTCATTCCTGGGGTTTTCTGAACAGGAAGCTCGCCTTGCCCTGCGAGCGTGCCATGGGAATGTGGAGCATGCTGCCAACCTTATTACGAACAGGAGAGAGGTATGGGGCAGTAAAAGCATTAAACCAAGGATTATATTTGTTGGGGTGTCCCTAAGATCGTGTTTTGCATAACTAGTATACCATGTGCTAAATTAAGGACTTAAATTATCGTGCTTTGACACTGTTAGTGTGACTAACAGCTTGACATCTGCTGCCACGAGTTTGAAACCACAACTTAATAGAAGTGTTTGGACTTGGAAAATTCATGAGGGAAGAAGGCTGTTTTGTGCGTAAGTATAAGTAGCTGACAGTATTGGCCACACTCAAAGTGCCTGAAATTACATTTGGTAAGTAGACGTGATATTTTAGGACTTCAGACAGTGAAATGTGGATAGAAAAGTCAAATGGCTGAGAGATCTTGTTGGCTACATGCCCAGCCTTGACTGTGTGTCCTTGGCAGGTCTTGTCCACAGACCCATCTGCCAAGCTGGTTTATCACTTACTACATAGGGCCTATAATAGCTGTGATAGCATAGGATTAGATCTGCTGAGACTTCAGACAGAGACTTCAGAAGCATGGCTGCCGTGCTTGCTCATGGGAATACAAATCACTTTAGTGATCACTGTCTGGCAGTGAAATCTGTATTTAAAATAGTGAGTTCTTTTTCCTCAGGAAATCCAAGCTCAAAAGAAGTAAATCCAAGAAACCCCTTATGCACAGGGGAAGGTGGAAGCAATCCCATGCACAGTTAGCTTTGTAATGGCTATGTTCTTGCAGGAAAAGGCACAGATAAGGAGGGAAGAGAGAGCTAAAAGAAGGCAGCGACTGGAAGACATAAACACCTTGAAAAGTATGGGCTACTCAGAGCGAGCTGCTCAAGTAGCTCTTCATCATGCACAAGGAAACCTGGACCAAGCTTTTAAGGTGAGATTTTCAGGAGTAGTGCTTTTGTACAAAAAAAAAAGTATTCTTTTAGAATTGCTTCTTCTTTTCTGCCTTCTGTATTGGTGAGTTTGTACCCTTTTTTGAACTATAATGACCAAACTTCTACTTCTTGACCCAGTGAATCAGACACTAAGATAGTTGAGGTCTTGCTTGTATGCACTTCTCCATATTGAGGCCTAATGTAACTGTATTGCTCTATTCTGATCCCTCTCCATTTTACTGTAGTTTATTCTGGACAATCCAGAGTTACTGTTGGAAAATGATGATGATGATTCTGCGGCCTCAGACCAGTTTCAGGTTTCCCAAGAAAGTATTGACCAAGTAAGTCAGATCTTTTTCTTTCTGAAGAGTTGGTAGCCTTGTTTCTGAATTACACTTTCAACCACACTAGATCTTTCTTAAGCAAAGCTGTAGAAATTGTCTTTGTCCCATGTGCCTCATATACTGTCACATTTCCATTGTCTTCCATCTGCTCTTCACAGCGAAGTCACACTTGGGCTGAAGTGTAATTCCTGTTTACTTCCTGCCCTTCACACCAATGTGTTGTTCTGAGGGAAGTACAGGCATTCTAGTGCTCTTACTCTAGAAAAGACATCAGAGAAGAAATGTATTCAAGTATTTAAACATACTGCAGTGCACTTGGGAAAGAGTTGACATCTGTCTTTCTCATCATGGGCCATCTGAAAAGCTCTTCAGTAGCTAGTGTGGCTTGATAGTTAATGTCAGGCAGGAAAACTATATTGATAGAAAAGATAAATAATAAATGCACACTCCTGGAATGCTGGAGTGCTTTGAAGTTCCTTTTGAAAACTGAAGAGCTGGCCTGATGTTAAACAAGAGGCTCTTGATTTTGCTCAACGTTCCCATTCCTGTAATAGGTCGCTGCCCTGTTGTTAACTATTCCAGTAAACCACACTCAGTGTCCTGGAATTCCTGGTATGCGACGCTTTCCTCTGTGCAAGGGGAATGACTGTCAGATTCCTGTCAGTCACTGGTGCTGACCGAGCTTGAATTTCTGTCTTTATTTCTGCCCTTGTAGCTGATGTACATGGGATTCAGCCACGAGTCAGCAAAGCAAGCTTTAAAGGTCTTTAAAGGAAACATCCACTTAGCTTCCCAGACACTGGCTCATTATGGGGGAGTTCTGCCAGATTCACTTCAGCTATCTCCAGAGGGGTCCAGTCTGTCAGAGGAATCAACTTCATCTAAAGACTCACCCACAGAGTCTGCAAGTAAGAACTATTGCATGGAATGACTAGAGAAAGCAGGAGGCTGTTATGCTTTTTGTACAAGTTGATTTCTGCTTATTTGTAGGGAGCTTTGAGTTTGGCCTCAGACTGATTTCCTTGGGACCATAGTTACCGACAAGGGAGATGTTAGCCCCAGATGAGCTATAGCCCCTACAATCAGTCCCAGCCATATATGATCTGTAAGGGGTGTAGTGTCAGCTGTAGGCAGTACACAAGACAGTTGTAGCCCAGAAGGTAAGGGGCATCCTGGGAGAAGCTGAAAGGAGTGGCTGCTAACTTAGCCATGGCTTTAGCACACAGGCTGGAGGCCTTTGGTGTCTACATCATATCACTGGGGAGGAACACACTGCCCTTTCTAGCCCACAGATAATTCTAGCTTTTTCCATCTAAATAAATTCACTCATACCAATTAAGACTAAAACCAAATCAGCCTCTCCCTGCCTGTACTCTCAGAAATCAAGTAATACATTCTTAAGACTCTCTTGCTTCCTGGATTTAGCGCTGAAGATTTTTGGCTTGTTAATACCTGATTTTTTTTTTTTGATTGCCATGAAGTTTTATTCCAAATGTGTGATACAGAAGCTGATTTGACCACATGCCCTTTATCTTGATAGAGCTGTAACTGATACTTGCATTAGCAAAGAGGAAACTCATACTTTGTCTCATATTAGCTGTCAGAGCTCGAGCAATCCCCATTGTACAACTAAGGGCTTTCCTGCAGCTTTAAGTACAGGGAAAATTGGCCATCCTGCAATAACTGGTAGAGCAATTTTAAATAAGAGGTAGTTTGTAGTAATTGGCTCTTGCAGAGCAGTCATGCTGGTGAAAGAGGGAAAGTACAAACTTCTTTCAGCAACGAAATCACTGCTGACTTTATTTCTTTTTTTAATTGAAGGTTCTTCTAGTTCACCAACAGATGAAGACATGGAGACTGATGCAGTCAATGAAATCCTAGAGGATATTCCTGAACATGAAGAGGATTATCTGGATTTAACACTGGAGGAGGAGGAACAGATCATTCATGAGTACTTATCCTACATAGAAGTACCACAGCATTAAATCTCATTACTTTGACTTCAGTTACATGCTTTTCCCTTGACAAATTGAGTTTGGATTATAAATGCATTTATTTCTTACTAAACGCCTTGAAGTCAGTTAAGCTGTAGGTGAAACACATAATTCCTGCTTATTTATAAATCTGCTTAAAGCCTACATCTGTGGTACACTGTAATTTATTGTCATAGCAAAAAGATAGAAACATTTATTTTCAGAAGAAAATTTAATAGAACTTAACTATATTTTTATTGTGAAAAAGTTAATTCACTTAGTATACAGACAAATAAGAATTTCTACATCACTTTAAAATATCAGCTTTGAGGCAATCTTTGTAAAGGAAAGACCTGGCTAATGAGGTTAGAGAGGTATCCACCTATGTACTTTTTTTGTTCTATCTGGAAGATTGCTGAGAGTCATTTATGTGTCTGTTGTGCATGGATTTATACTGCATTCTGCTTCTTGCTTCATGCAGGTGTTACACAGGCAATAAAGAAAGATAACCATGTGCTGCTTCATCTTTTAGTAAGTCTTCTGTCCTTTGCTCTTAAAAAGCGTTCTGGAGGAATACCTGCGTGGAAATACCTGATGTAACATCCAACTTCCTGCAACATAAGCACTCCTCTCTGCCTGGCACGTGAGTTCCCCCAGCGTTAAGTTTTTCCGTTTGCATTCAATACCTGCAGACTCACGGTAGAGGGAGCTCAAGCCCTACCTGCTGCAGGGCCAGGGAGCAGGGATCTTCTCTGCTCGTGGCCCTGACAGGAGCTGCTCTGGGATGAGCCGTGTACGTGGTGACTGTTTCTTTTTACCCAACATTTATCGGGCAAAATAAAGGCTTGCACTTCTGCAACACTGAGAGAATACTGGAAGTAGGACTGCAAAGTGACTGCAATAATCCAGCTGATAGCTGGTAAGTCTTGTAGTGGATCTTACTCTGGCTACCTTAGCCTGGGGCATCAGAAGACAGGGAATAAGTGATAATATCATTAATGAGTTACTTGCAGTTTGTCTCATGCTTGTGTGTCAAGGCAAACGCTACAGAAACAGGGTAGTTTTGTATTTCATCCCCATCGCCCAACACATTTTTAAAGCCAGAGGTGCAAACTTAAGACTAAAAAAAGAACCAGCAACTGCTGTATCCTCCCTGTCTCTCTCCAGGAGGGCACAGAGCACTGAACCACATACAAAAACCAAAGAATACCTAGACACTAGAAACAACCAACCAAGCCAGAAGCTGTACATAGCTTTAATAAGAAGTAGGTGGGACTGCAAGGGCATTACCTTGGGGTAGCCCATGGGCATGTCTAGAAGGCAGCAGCTCTCTGCTTCAAAACAGTTTGCATAGCCAAGTGGAAGTGACACTCAAAAACTGAACATTTCTCCTCAAGATTTGTAAAATTAGCATCTTAACATGCAAAGCTTACAGGAGAAGCTGTTCCTCTGTGGTGTAATTCAGCCAGCACTGCCCCCAGGAACTGTGTGTGCAGTTTTAAGTGATCAGTGGGGTGGGAGGCATTAGCTGAGGGATTTAGTTAATTTTGAACATGCATTTGAAGACACTGATATCTTTAGCAACCAGCAGAAACAGTAATGACTCATTAATTCCACTCTATGAGCTCTGTGTCTCTGAAAACCATTTGCAAACTTCATGTGCAGCTCTCCCATCTCATACACTGTGGGCAGTTAGTTAGTTCAAGGCTTTAACCCCGGAGTCTTAGCCCACACTGCCTGCAACAACCCCATCCATCTCCGCTGCTGGCTTCCTCCAGGCATTGCCATCATAAGCAAAACACAGCAGTAGAGGGAAGGAGCACACAGAGCCAACACCAGCCCTGCCCCAGGGGCAGCCCTAGTAGCAAGGGAAATGGTTCCCAAAGTGTATATTGTTTTTCTATGTTCCATCCACCCTTTGCTGCTGTGTACCCGCAGGCAAATTCCCTCTATGTGAGAAGTAAATAAAAGCAAGACAGGCAGTTATGGATGCCACATGTTTATTGGTCTGTTCTAAGAAAGAATTACAGCATTGCTATCTTGCTGTAGTACAGAATAAATAAAGCCATAAAAATAAAAACATGTGGTTAGATATTCTTGTACTGGTTCTACAAAGGGTTATACCTGCAAATAGAAAAATAGAAGAACCTTTGTTTATTCACAGCTCAGTGGTTATCAGAAAGGGATGAACCTGGAAAAAGATGGGGAGAAATTCTCTTGGATTCAACTGCTTACCCATTGCTGCTAGCAAGCCAAGGCCAGGCATAACCACATAAGGAAGAAAGACAACACCGTTCCAGTAACTCTTCCCCCCATATTTCACACCCACTCCCTGTGAAGCACAACTGGAACTCCCACACGGATCCAAGGGCCACACAGAACCAAGCAAGGTGTATTGCATAGCCACTGAGCCAGAAGTAATGCTACAACCTCCTTGCTACTGCCATGCTCAGGTGTTTAGCTGAACTCAGGGCATATGAGAAGGCAGTGGGGACAGGTACAAACAGTCGTTGTCAGATTGCAGCCTGGTGGAAGTGTGCAACATCTCAATGTCAGGGAGAACTGGAAAAAAGCAGCTGTAAATAAAGTTTTTAATGACACAGTCACACTGCTGATACATCATCAGATCCACACTCAGTCCCTCTTATCCCTAGTGTTGCTCAGCTGAGTCATCGTGAGCAGCAACATGACTGGAGTCCATCTGACTGCCACAGAGAACTTTGGCTCTTTAAACAGTTTCAAGCAAAGCAGTCTCCCATCTCTTTCCAAGTTCTGGCTTGCACATAGACAGCGGTGCAGAAAACAGAAGGTTCAGCTTTGGTCACTCACAGAAAGTCTATTGTGGATAGTCACATTAGTTCAACAGTCTCGTGTTCCCCATTTTCTTGCTGTACCATACAGCCAACCTTATTGTTGAAGAGACGAGACAGACTTCCCTTCTGAGAGCTCCTGCCCTGGACGCACCTCTCCTTCTTCAAACGCCGCTTATTTCTCTTGCATACTCCCCGGATGTCCCAGATCCTCAGTGTTCCATCATGGGAGGCTGTGTACAGCAGCTCGTTGTGGATCTGGAACAACAGGGTCACACAATGCCAAGCTACAGCTCAGAACGTTCATAATCAAACTCCAGAATCAGAGCAAACACAGCCTGAATCGACGCTTAGACCTGATAGCTCATTCCAAAAGCTGGTATAAATTATCACGAAAGCTGCTCAAGTGTGATGAGACATTACCAAGTCAGGCCTCATTTCTTAGCCATTTCATGGAGCCATAAAATATACGCAGCAAGCATTATTCATAATTTACATCCACCAGAAGAGCAATGGAGAACTAACTCCTAAGTGTCAGAGCAGGCTGTAGCCAGGCATTTCTGTGCCACCTTCAGATTGCTGGTTTTGAAGACAAAAACTGAGGCACCATCAAAATGTGCATCACTGAGCAGTGGATGAGAACAGGAATACTCTCCTTATCCCTTCCCTTCATTTTCTCCCTTTTTAGCATTAAACATCAGTACCCATTGAGTCATGACCATGAACAAGTCCTTTTTAAGGACCTGGATTAGCTTTCAGAAAAACGTTAACCCTGTAGCAGAGACTCTTCCATTTGTCTGGTGGGAGGTGCAGCAGACAGCAACACAGAACTTCTCTGTCCTTGTTACACCTATAGAAAAAATTATATGCTGGGAGGCAACACTTCATATAGTATTTAATATAATGGGTAGAACAGGGTAATCAGCACTAGCACCTCACTAAGATTAGAAAGGGCAGTAAAGAGTTGCTAGACTCTCTGTGAAGGGATACCATATCTGAGGGGCAAGGGGCTGAATGCTCTATTTGTTCTATTTGGATAAGGAAGAAGCTTGCATTCTGCACAAAGTACTGCAAATCCTTGCCATCCTCAGCCTCCTGCTGGAAGGGCTCTCTGAGTCCATCCCCTGCCCCTACATGTCTCTGTCATTGCATTTCTTATGAATGCTTGTCTAACCTGACCTGAAAAGCCTCCCATCGCTGACACAGGACTACCTCTAGGGGTTCATTCTGTGGCTTTGCTTATCCTTCACACTGGGGATATTTGCATCTGTTACATTTCATCTTATCCCAGAACAGCACTCAACTGCTGCACAGTTCTTATGAAACACAAGAGATGAAAGCACAAGTGACAAATTCCCCACCTGGATGCAGTTGATGATGAACTTGTGTCCTCGGAAGATCTTCTGCAGGACACCACTCCTGGAATTGAAGGCTCGTGCACATGCATCACCACTCCCAGTGAACACTGCAACACAAGCACACAGCTCAGCACGCAGCCTGACAGGAGCAGCCACATAAAAACAGCTCACTCCAATTCAGAAACACGCCAAGAATCGTCTTAAACTGAGACAGGGGAGGTTTAGGTTAGATATTAGGAGGAAGTTTTTCACACAGAGGGTGGTGACGCACTGGAACAGGTTGCCCAAGGAGGCTGTGGATGCCCCATCCCTGGAGGCATTCAAGGCCAGGCTGGATGTGGCTCTGGGCAGCCTGGTCTGCTGGTTGGTGACCCTGCACATAGCAGGGGGTTGAAACTGGATGACCATTGTGGTCCTTTTCAACCCAGGCCATTCTATGACTCTCTCCTATGATTCAGGCCATACCTTTGCAGTGTTCCCTCAAAGGGGAACACCTGTGTGCTTTAAGGGTTATAAACTGCTTCCAGGAACACCTGCTTTCTTGCACCTGCCTCAGATTCCTCAAGTTTATCTACAGATAAAAATGTCAGAACAGCACAAAGCAAAGTATTCACTGCTCTCTGCACTTCAAATCTTTGCAGAAAGACAGCTGCAAAATTGCAATGCCTGAAAACAACAGATCCCTCATCTTCTGGGAGAAACTGGGCACTGGATTCCTGAATAGATGTGAAGAAATGTACAGAGGCAAATGGAGGGCTACAAGAAGACACGAGAACAGGCAGCCTCCTGCTAGCAGCTTTCCAACCCCAAGTTAAAGAGCAGGAGGCTGGCTTCCTCCTGGGTACACCTTTAAGGAACACTTGGATATGGAAAAACCAGCCTCATTTTACATGGGCCTGCATGCAGTCTGTGGCCAACACAATCCTGAAAAAGCACTCATCCCGTTCTGCAGACCAGTACCAACACAAAAGCACAGCACAATTTTTTCCAGTTAACAGATTACACACATGCAGAGAATAAGAAGCAATTAAGAGCTTCTTTCACCATGCTGCTGTCAGTTCATTCCAGCTATCACGACTTTGCTCGACAGACATCTCCTCCACCTTTTGAACTGTCACTCCAGATTTAGGAAGCCTCCCTGCAGCCCTGAGTTGTAAGGGAGAGCTGCTGACATAACCCAGATTCAGCATTTAAATTATATAGACACGTCTCTGAAGCAAACAAGCAAATATGTATATATGTCAGCAATTTTTTATTTTTTTTTTTTAAACTTAAATTTCACAGCATCTTGGGAGAGTGGGCAGGTTTGGAACGTTCCCTTGGAGACTTGGTACAGGAAAAAAATATATATATAAACTGAATTAAATCTTAAATGACCACGTATGTACTGTAGGAGAGAATTAACCATGATAAGATCGTTAAGTAAATGGAACTGAGAACAGCTGTAACATTCCCCATGCTTGTAACTACACACACATACTGAGCAAAGCCAATAGAAACACATTCTGATCATTTGATGGCTCAGTTAGAATCAGAATATATCTAAATTATGTTCAGACACATCCCTAGCATTCTCCCATGACGCGTATCCTACTCTTTAAGTGCAATAAATTCTCCTTGTTTGACACACTTAGCATTTTTGCTTTAGATCGAAAAGTGAGATCTTAAATAACACTGTGAGCACTTCTATCACACTATCAGGATGTTCTTCGCAGGTCTGACTAAATGCTGTAATACCAAATGCGTTTTAAGAAAGAGAGCTATGGAAAAATAACGTATCTGCATGGCAGAGACACGGCAGAGGGATAAAGGGGAGGGAAATGGCATTAGATAATGAAACTTGTGTTTGAGCCCAACCTTCTTTACAGTGATTTTAGAGACTCTGGTCAAGCCTGTACTAACAGCCTGAAAAGCAGTTACAGAATTACAGTTCTGAGCATCTCATTAATGAAGGAGACAGCCTGCTGTCTGCTCAGTACAGATTCCTCACTGGATCAGGCCAGCATTCGCCTAGAGCAGTCATTTTGCTTGATGACAATGTTTGGTTTTGTATCTTTCTAATGTGTATTATCTCACATTTGTCAGCCGTTTATCACCATTATACCCATCATTTATCAGAAGGGATATTAAGGCCCTAATAGCAACCATTCATTTGGTGTTACATGTTGGTCATAGAATCATAAAACAGCCTGAGTTGAAAAGGACCACAATGCTCATCTAGTTCCAACCCCTCTGCTATGTGCAGGGTCACCAACCAGCAGACCAGCTTGCCAAGAGCCACATCCAGCCTGGCCTTGAATGCCTGCAGGGATGGGGCATCCACAGCCTCTTTGGGCAACCTGTTCCAGTGCCTCACCACCCAGCCAGAAGTACAGAAATTGAGATCAGAAAAGTGCTGCAGCTTTCTAGATTAGTTTAAGACTATCCACTCCTGTTACCTAGAAGAGAGAAATACTTGGGAAATTGAATGAAGACGCATCCAGTCTAACAAGTGTCAGAATAAGACAGAGATGATGCATTGAGAGGTTTGGGCTGAATAAAGCAGAGATGCAGCCTTGCAACCGAATGTGGAAGAGCAGAGATTGACATGCAGAAGGAAAGCCAGCCAAGAGAGGGATTTAAAGAGCAGTTTTTTGGCTGGAATATGTTATGTCAACAAGAGAGAGCTATACAAAGATAACTCTATTAACAGGAGTATTGAAAGCAGTGAAGCTGAGTCCCAAGCATTTGTAAGCAACACTCGGCTGCAGCAGAAAGGCAGTTTCAGGATGCAGAAGGAGAGAAAAAGGGAAAACAATTTGTGCAAAATGAGTCTTTGAGATGGTCAGAGTCCAAACAGAAACCCTGTTGGATAGAGCAGCGAGGATTTGAGAAATGATTCTGGTTTGGGACAGTCTGTTAACAGTACAGACAAGGCAGCAGAGGGTGGCACAGGGCAGTGTATCCAGCAACAGCACTTGCTGTCAGCAAGAGCAGCAGGCTGACAGAAATTAGGCTGGTGAGGCTAAACCATGGCTATGCAAACAACGCACAGACAGTTCTGGATTTAAGCCACTTCCCTTCGTAACATAAATAAAGCAAGTACTTCATCTGCTAGAAGGAGGTCAAAATGGAGGGAAGATCTGAGCTCCTCACACAGAACAGTGCAGCAAATTTGATACTGAACATAAAAAAGCTGGAGCTGAAAAAAGTGACACGTTTTCAAGCCTTGTAATTACAGCATTCTCTATAACAATCTTCGATCAAAGACAAAACATCCGAAAGGAGACAAGGGATTGCTGAACATAGGAAAGGCAACTTACAGATCCCAGCGTGGTATTTCAAAGTGCTAACGCTGTGTTTGTGAGCCTTGTACGTTTGGATTCTCTCCCCAGTGTCCACTAACCAGCACTTCACTGTCCTGTCTGCGCTTCCTGAATACAAGTGCCGATTCACCAGCTGAAGGGAAGAGAAAAAAAAAAGCATTAGCAACAGTCTCTTAGGCATGTTGGTGTGAGCACTGCATGGAGCTGACTCATCTGAAGTCAGTTTCTGTCTGAACAGCCTCAAAAAACAACAAATGGTAGTTCCTGCAAAGTACAACTGGGTTTTAACCAGCGGTTGGCAACCCTACCTGGGGCAGAGGGTTGGAACCTGATGATCCTTGAGGTCCCTTCCAACCCAAGCCATTCTATGATTCTATGAGAAACAGAATATAGCAGGATTACTCTGCTTGAGGTCAGTATGTGGTAACACTAGCTCTTCCTCAATGGTAGAGAGGGGGGTTTTTCCTTTCCACACAGACACAGCAGAGAATGGCAAAAGGAATGATTGCAGAAGGGAACGAGAGACAGGGAGAATATAACAGACCTGTGTAGTACTATAAAACTTGCCAGGATACAGCAACAGCCTATCTGAAGTGCACAGAGCCTGGCAGCTTTGCAGGGAAACCCTCAACAGTGCAAAGAGAAATCCTGCATTCATGCTTATCAAGGGCAAGCAATTATGGTCTCTGAGCAGGTACCATTCTGCATGGCTCTGTATACTTCCCTAAGCAGAGAGCTGGGCTGGCAGATGCCATTTGAAGGCAGCATGATGGTGTCAGCCAGTTAAACACACACTCTCACAGCAATCATGAGTCAAGTGGACCTGGGCGTTGCTCTTGGTCACTTTCAGGTGACACCTTGCACTATAAAACCTCAATCCCTCCTCCTGGCACTCCGTTTCCATAAGCTTTAAATGTTTTTCCATTCTTTCCTATCTCCACTCCACTTTGAGAAGGTGTCATTTGTGAAAGGCATCATAAACGAGCAGAACTTGGCCCATGGGGCAGTTTTCACAGCTGAACGTCAAGAGGTTGTAAAACACATCAGCTGCTAAAAGTCAGCAGTACTTTGAAATGTCACATCCCATTACTTTCAAGCTGCGTTAGCAATGGCATTAATACTACATCTCTTTGAGGAAAGAGAAGGAATGGCCAGCAGCGCTAACAAAACCGAGAGCCATAAAGTTAGCCTGAGGAAGGTAACCTGACCTTTCATTTCCAGGCTCAACTTGAATGGGCATGACAAACATTGTCACATGGCCCCAGCTCAATGCAAGAGTTGTTTTGAATTGAGATCCTGCTGGGCTTTTCCTGGCCAAGTCATCACGTTTCTGTTTCAGACATCTCCCACTGACACACTCAGTGAAGAAGGGGAAAACACGGAGTTACAACCTCCTGCAGGTCAGTGCCACTCAGCATTACCGGAACGTTAGGTTACACCGCTTGAGTTCCACATCTAAGTGGGTGTGCAAATGCTGGAATGAAACAGAACAGTAGCACTTGCCTAGGTTTTCTTTCTTGCTAGATTTAAAAATATATTAAGTGACCTGGGCTACTCAGATAATTTATGCCACCGGGAGCATAAGAACCATAAAAGCTTCCAATGCATGGAGACCTGCGGAGTTGGCAGCATGGCAGCTCTCTTCATTAAGCCCCAAGTCTCTGTGCCACCCAAGCTGCCCTCTAACACACCCATTTATTTCCCCTCCTCCCACTCCCCAGTTTAAGCAGAGGAGCAAAGGATTCTCAGCAACGCTTAGAAACAGAAACATGAACATGTTAAACCATCTATTGGATGTCACAGACTAAGCTTGCAGCAAAGCCAATAGCAAAGTCTGCCACATGTTCAAACTGTCACACTTGCCTCTCATTTCCATGGGTTTTTTAAAAGGCAGAACACAGAACAGCTATTAGCAGAGAAATCTAATGACAGTCATCTGATCAAGTGGAAGCTGCAAATCAGATCTACTGCTGGTGGTACGATGCAGGCATCGCCTCATCTGAATTGCTGTAAGTATCTACAGCTAAAATAGCCCCTTACAGCCACTGAGGTCTGCTCCTAACGGAGATGTCCGAAGCAAATCACACCTTAAAAGTGGCTCTTTGCCCCCCAGACAGGGTGGCTGTCTCCGCTGCACCATCACTATCAGTTTTGATGAAATATCTCCTGCTTCACTTGATCAGATCTTAACAGATCTAGGTTACAGCTGCAACCTAAGCTACAGCACTTCAGATATCTATTATTCAGTCAAAATCATCATCATCATCATCACAGGCAGTGCCCCCAGCCCAAGCACCTGATGAGCAGGCACTCGCATTGTATGGCATAAAATAAAATAAATGCCTTCTCTACTTCACAGGTGGGGGGAACTGTGATACAGTGCATCTCAAGTCCCTGCTTTAAAAAATGTCTTGAAATTTGCAGCACTGTAACTTCTGATTGCCAGGATCCCACAGCACAGGATGCATTACATGCCTCAGGGAAGTTGTGATGAGCACCAGTACACAGAGCCCAGGAGGGTGTATGAAAATCAGCTGGGATTCTCATTGACAAGAGCAAGACAGAGGAACCGATCCAATCCAACCCACGTCAAATCAGTGGTTTGACTCCAGAGCTTTCTGCAGAACTGGCATCCAAAAGATGCATTTATCTCCCAGTGCAGACACAGCAGGCCTGGCTCTCAATTCCCTAAGGCTGGACACGGTGCACAAATACCCCCATGTTGGCTGGGCACAGCAGGTTGCCAAAGCAATCCAGCCTGGACCTGAGCACCTCCAGGGATGGGGCACCCACAGCTCTGGGCAGAAGTGCCAGTGCCTCACTAATATCCAATCCAAACCTACCCTTTCTTAATTTAAAGCCATTTCCCTTTGTCCTATCACTAGGAAGCATCCACAGTTGCTGTTCCTTGGCTTAAATATCCCTGCTAACACATTAGGCTCAGCAGATCAGCTCCCAGCACAATTTCTTCACCAGAATGTAAGACTAAGCTGTACCTTTGCTGCTGAGACCCATTTTTGTGCATGGGCATTCAGGGGCAGACATTTTCAGCCAATACTTGTGACTTACAAACTCTCCATCTCTAACTACCAGGCCTTTTTTCCTCCTTCTATCTCCAGAGTTCCAAAACCCACACTCAATTCTCTAACCCCAGTCCTATTCTCATCAAAGAATTTAACTTTCTTATAATTTAGAAGGAAAATGGTAAAATTTCACCCAACAGATTTTCCAAGCCTGTCAAATCCTGGTTTAAAAACCATCAGTAGAAATAGTTACATATTCTAATCTGCAAACGCATGGAGAACTTGGTATTTCCAGAGCTGTGTTTTCCTTGGCTGGCTCCTGAGTGCTCTGTTCACTTTGGATCACTGCCCAACGAAGTTCCTGACAAGGAAAAGCACGGCAAGGCAAGGACACCTGGAGCAGAACAGATAACACACAACAGATCTGCACTTGGGTATTAATGAGCTGTGCTGATACTTCAAACCCAAGGAGCTTCAAAAGAATAAAGAAAGCTGATGACAATCAGATGACCAGTTTTAAAGCCTCAGCCAGATGGGGGGGGGAAAGAAATCACCGCATTGATAGCTTTAATTCTGGACTATTCATTTCTCTCATTGTGCTGAGGGACTTTGCTTTTTACCAGATGAAACACTGAGACGTGAGAATGAGGCACATTTGTCTCAGTCCTCCAGCAATGTCCTGGAAATGTATTATTCCACGACAAAGTTTGGTCAGACTTTGGTTTTTAACAGCCGAGTTACAGCACTGGCAAAACAAAAGTTGCAAACACTGAAGTAGTTACAAGTTTCACCATAAAATATTGCCTGTTTTATTTAATCCTGATGTTGGTCACAGCCCCTAGACATGCCACAGTTCACATAAAGAAGCATAGCTAGGGTTGGTTTCTCCAGACAGTCACAACCCTACTGCTCTGTGAGCTTGGCTGAGCTGAACACATGCAGCAGCTTAAGACAATTTCCACCTGCATGAATGCCAAAAAAAGTCAGCAAAAGGGTTGTGTAGCAGGTTATTCAGCCTACAGCTTATAGAAACGGACTTTGCTCTTCAATTAACCTTTGCTATAAGGCAATTTAACTTTCATCCAAGGAGAGGCCACTAGCTCAGCAATTGGAACAGGCACGTCATCTTGCTGCAGATCACTGTGCTCAAGCAGGCTCTCAAGAAGGCAAGCTCCCATCAGCACACTTCCAATTGCCAGCTTTCTCTCTACAAGGGGTCAGTGCTCCTGCAACCTGTCAGCTGGGTCTTCTGTTCGCAGCTGCTCCCAAGCTAGAAATCACCAACTTGGAGCAGTCTCAAGTTACATCCATGTGAGCCTTCCGCTGAGTTAGACTTTCAGGATCCCATTCAAACCACATTCATTTTAGCAAGCTAAATAACTCCCTGTGAGCAAGAAATTGTTTTGGTTTTTTGGTTGTTGTTGTTTTTTTTTAAAACTAAGAATCCATCTAGAGCGTGCTCTGACTGCTAGAGAACATTTTTCAGCTTCTTCACTGCAGTGAAGAAGCACTAAAACACACCTTTTCTAAAGGTGCTGAACACGTTCAGATTCCCCTAACTCATCCTGTGATGAACGACGCAACAAACAAATTACCCATAAGTGCACACAATTTCATTGGTGTGATGAGAAAAAAAATAATCCTTCCCCACAATCACAATAGCTAAGCGTATAAATGGAGCTCAAGCAGCGGGTTTGCTCAAAGCATTCTTTTCTTCTAGCCAGCTTTAAAAGACAACGAAGGGGAATGTTCCCAACAAAGGATCTTTTGCAGGAAAACCAGAAGCAAGTCCTTGCCCACTCATGTTCATTTAAAACTCCTTTTGCAATTCTCATCCTTGTAAGAATGTTCGCTATAGAATCCAAGCTAAATACCAGGCTGGATCATTTCTTTCTGCCAGCTTTTGGCAGCACAAGTTTGATAAATACTCGGTCTGAACAATCAGCAAAGGACAAAGCAATCCTTGTAAACAGTTTGCAAAACCACTTTGGAGACGTTTAGAATAACACACACAAGTAAATATTTGGGCCAGGGTTCTTCAGCCTGGCGCAGGCAGTGCTGTTCAGGGGAATTGTTGGTCTGATTATGAATTACAAACCTTGGTCTTTAGCTGGGCCTGAAGTGTTTGAGTAGAAGAAATAGAATGAGCTGTGTGACTACGTTCAGCCCACCCTTGCTTTTTTCCCATTGCTTCCTGTAAAATCACATCATTGGCTCTTACATGAAGAGAGAGCACTCAGAGCAGCTGCTGGCCCTCGCTTGCCAAGCTAGCAACGCAGTGCAGAAGAAGCACGAGGGAAGAGTTCTGGCTGCTGCACCAATGGTTATCTTGCCTGACGACGTGAGGGAAGGAATGAAGGCCTGCCAAGGCACCTCACATACAGAAAGTCTACTGGCAAAGCTTCTGTCAGCTGAATTGGGACGGTGGAAGGAAGACTGGCATTACAAAAAGCTGGCACCTGCAGCTGTTGTGAGAGCAGGCCGCACGCCGTGATTCAGCCCTGGGACAGCAGGACACGTCACACAGGAGATCAGAACTGCTCATTCTCCTCACTGTTGTCTGTGATCATCACTAAGCACAGGGGAAAAGGGAAAGCAAAAGCCAAACGCTGTTTCTTGGCCTTCCATGCCAGGCCAGAGTATTCAGGCTCCTCTAACGTATGCTGGATGGCAACAGTACCTAGAGGATCTTGGAGCAAATGAGGAGCATTCCGAATCAGAACACGACTGTGCCATCGTCTCTTTGCAATTCATTCACCAGCCATGCAGGAAGGGAAATCATGGGTTTATCTATGGATACCTGCCCTGAAAGGCTCTCCTAAGCTCCATTCTCTGCTACAGAAATGCTATGGTATTTACTGGAAAGTCACGGAAGCTGGCCAGACCAGCCCAGACCTTACCTGCAGCAGTTCAGAGCATCCTGACAGCATTCCTGCTAATACAGTGCATTTTAAAGTTGGGGAAGGTACAGTCTTAGTAGTCACACTTTCCCTGTCCTGGCTGGGATAAGATACCACACCAAACTCCATTTCTCAAATGTTCTGAAAGGCCAGCCTCCTTTAGGAATCTTTATTTGCATAGATATACTGAAAATATGTTTTTTTTTTTTACCCCTTTAGTCTCTCCACGTAAGCAGTATAGCAGCTAGAGAATGGTAACAGCTACCTTTAAATGCTGGTACCAGCTCAGCTCCTCCAGGACAAGGGAGTAAAAATGTGGTGTAATTAGAAGCTCACTCTCACGCTCTGAAGAAACTGAGCTACTGCCAACAATTAAAGCTGTCTGCTGGCTACTGTTAGTGACTCACAACCACCTCCAAGTCCTCCCGGACACAGGGTTTGAAAAATACTACACTAAACTCACTGACACAGATTGTGACACTGCCACAAAGGAGCCCTGGGCAAAGAAGGCTCCAAAGGTTCCTGGAGAGAGAAAAAAAAAAAAAAATTGTTAAAATCAAAAGCAAAATAAAGAAACACAAAGCAAAAAAAAAAAAAAAAAAGCAACCAACCAAGCAAACAAAAACCAAAACACAAGAAAACTGCACACACCTCTGCTCAGGAAGTTTCCCTTCTGTTACAACATCTTTGTATGGATTCTTGTGATTGACCCCTTTCTAGAAGAACGAAAATACCATGTGGGCTGTGCTGAGAGGCAGCCAAGAGGAACAGAAGGGCTAGTGTTGAACCCAATAAGGAAGAGCGAGGAATTAGGAAAGACTGACAGGCTAAAGCTATTCAACAGCATTACAGCAAGTGATTAAGCTGGGGTAAGTTTTAGGGCAGCGTGTACCCAGCTGGACTCCTCTAGCTTCAGCCATCAACTGATGACTGGAGAAGCAAATGGCTACCAGTTACTCACATCTATGGGCTGAGGGTTTGGCCAGGATCATTGCCAGCACAGCCTAGGCAGCAACAGACTTGTCTACTTTGAATTGTTCAGGTTTTCCAAAGAGACGTGTTGGTTTTGCTTTTCTTCTCTCCTACAAGAAGTTCTGTTTGTTTAAAACCATTGTTTAATGCTGTGCTCGCAAGGAGGGAAGCATTGCTCATTCTGGAGCATTCAAAGAGTGTAATTGAATTTCCCAGGCTTCTGGGAGAGGGTCAAGCCAGTTTTGTGTAACAATTTTAGCAAGAACCCAATTAAATTAAAGCAAGCTCTGTTGTTGCCAATCTGCGTCTTGAAAAAAGGTTGCAATTAAACAGTAAAACATAGCGTGACACTAAGAACAGCAACATATTTACTTGAGCATCTTCAAAATGCATCACCACAATCTGAGAATGTACCCAGGCAAGACAAACATTACTCCAGGGAAACACAACTTGGTTCTTTTTCCTTTCTAAAAAGAAAGGAAAATAGAATTCCTTCAGTACTATTGGGTCTTCAGCCTGCTAGTGTCAGCTGTGACTATCTTCTTTAGAAAGAGATGCAACATTTATTGAACAGCTATCAAAAATATATACTGTAGCCTCTGCAAAGGAAAAGAAGTTACATAAACAAGAAGAATATTGGAAAAAAAAAAACAAATAACAACTTGCGTAAGTTAATACAACGCATCTAATTAAAAGCACTTAGGTTTACTGACCTGAAATTAACTTACAGACCATCATACACCTTCTTTAAATATTCCACTAATATTGCCTGGTGAATGGGCAAGTACTTATGCCATAGTTCCCTTTTGTCTTCTTCATCTCCCTAAATCCATTCCCTCCCTTGCAATGTTAATAAACTTGGCAATGTTCACCAGAAAAATACCACAAACAGTAAACAAGGTACAGTTCTTCAAGTCATATTAAGTTTTTTCCCTTCTCCTTCACTATTTCCCAATTCTCTCCCCCAGGCTCTACTTCTCTTTTCCATTTTCCTTGCCCATTCTCTCATTTGGTTGTCTCCTTCTCCCTTTCTTTCCTCATCTTATGTCTGTGTGTGTAGTTTTAACAGCAGGATTTCTTCCATCTTTATGCTTTCCTATCATCACTTGTTCACAATTTCACATTGGATATCTGATTTACTCTGAATTTTACTCCTCCCTTTTTAAGTTACCCATCCCTACGTCAGCTCTGTTGCACCAACAGCTCAGGTTATTTCTCTTCAAAGTCTGGTGGCCCAATGTGCACAACCCTACTCAGAAGAAGAGTGCTCCAACACACCCTACACATAAACTTCAAGACCAAGGGGTACCTAAATAAATACTAAGCTAGAAGTTAGACCAGGACAGCCAATGGAAGCCAAGAGGATACCATGACGTATTTTAGAGAAAGTGCTGTTCCAAGATCACAGGGCACAATTATTCTATTATATGAATGGTTAAGAATATCATTTACAGCATGTCTCAGAAGAGCTTCTCTGTGAGTGAAAAGACAGTTGAGACTCACACAAATTAGGAGACAGATACCTCCTTAGGATGGCTCTTGGTTGCACCAGTGGAGATTTAGGTTGGATATCAGGAAAAACCTCTTTACAGAAAGGGTTGTTAAGCTGGAATAAGCTCCCCAGGGAGGTGGTTGAGTCACCATCCCTGGATGCATTTGAAAGCCATTCAGATTTGATGCTCACAGACGTGATTTAGGGTTAGTTAGAGTGAGGGTAGTATGGTTAGGTTGCAGTTGGACTTGATGATCTTTGAAGTCTTTTCCAACTTGAGCAATTCTATGTTCTTACCTCTAGGCAAATTATCGATCCTTGATGCTCTTTGAACACTTTCAGCTGCTCACCAGTAACAATATTCCATGTTCGAATGGTATAGTCCGTGCTGCCAGAAAACAGCTCCCTGTTTGGTGCGTCAAGTATAAGGCATAAGACAGCCCCAGTGTGTCCCAGCAGAGTCTGGTAACAGCGCCCGCTGGACACCCACCAGACCTTTACAGTGCAGTCCGTGCTACCTGTCACCAGGAGGTCTCTGCTTACTCTCTCCTCTTCCTCCTCTTCCTCTTCCTCCTCTTCAAGGACGTCCTTGGAGGAATAGTGAGCTAGAGTCAGGACACAGTTCCGATGGCCCCGGAATTCCTGGATTTGTTTCTCCTTGTCCACACTCCAGCAGCGGGCTGTCCTGTCATAGGAGCCACTAAACAGATAGTCTTTGGCAACCAGGATCCTGCAAAAAAAAAAATAATAATAATAAAAAAAAAGAATTATATATTAACAGTATCATTCTTTTTACCTTTTATTTTTGTAATGATTTCAATGCTAAGCACACTGAAGCTAGAAACAGTAGCGTGAACTCAACATATACACCTCTGATTCAGCCTCTCTGTTTAAAACACATTATTTATAACCACACTTTTTTCTTTTTTCCCCACACCAAACACATCTCTGTTTTACTTTTGAAAACTAAGACTCTTTATTCGGGTACACCAGTGTGGATATTTTAGCACTGCAGCTTTGAGCACTGCAAAGGTACGGCCTAAATCATAGAATAGAGTCACAGAATGGCCTGGGTTGAAAAGGAGCACAATGCTCATCCAGTTCCAACTCCCTGCTGTGTGCAGGGTCACCAACCAGCAGACCAGGCTGCCCAGAGCCACATCCAGCCTGGCCTTGAATGCCTGCAGGGATGGGGCATCCACAGCCTCCTTGGGCAACCTGTTCCAGTGTGTCAACACCCTCTGTGTGAAAAACTTCCTCCTAATATCTAACCCTATTTCAGAACTAAAGAGCAAATCAGAGACTATAACTCAAGAGTTCAGCTTGCTGGGCCTCCGTAATAATGAAGTGTAGCTGCACAAACACTTAAGAGACAACAGCACAGTCTCTGTGGACTGTGTTTCTAAACTGGAAATAGGGAACATCATCTTTATACGCTGAATTTGGTCCTCTGGAACCTTTCAAACTGGCAACAAAGACAGATGAATAGGGAACACATTTCCAACTTGCTGATTCAAGCAAAATCAGGCCAGAGCCAGAACACAGGCAGAGCCAGCCTTCATAACTATTTACAGCATCCAGCTACACACCGTTTGTGCTCTGAGTTTGGTAATGAACAACAACAAAAATAATGAAAATAAATCTTTGACTGATTGCTCCATTAAATAAAGCCATCCCAACTATTAAGAGGCACTTCAAAAATCAACAAGCCAATCAGTTACGAAAAATCAGATTAACACAAACTTTGTTTGCACAAGGAGGAATTGTGATTCCAGAAACAGCCTTGACTTTATCCCCCTCAGTGACTCAAAGGTTTGACGTGATGTTTTTACATCTATTTATCAAAAGCATCTGTTATCAATTGAACAATTTCTTCTGGAATTTCATGGCTGGTGCTGGATTCAATTCCCCTGCCATGTGCCTTTCAGCCCTCTCCTATCTGCTGTCTACGGATATGTCAGCACTGTTGCTAGGAAAAACTTCTCATTACAGCACAGAACACGTGGAGCATGCACCCAAAGGCTTACACAACCCGTTTTGTTAGCGTAGTCATGGAAAATTGCAGCAAAATGACAATCTACGCGATAAGAGATTACGGGAACACAATGGAACTCTATGGAACCAACCTGTTCACAATGGATGTGTGCCCTCGGTAAATGGCCAGGCACTGGCCTGTCACCACGTCCCACTTTCGAATGGTATGATCTGCACTACATGTGAAGGCAGCCTCGTTTTCTAAGTGGCAAAAGGTGATGTAACTCTCGTGTCCTAGGAATAAGAGCAGAAATAACAGCTCAAGCATCGTGCCCCCAAGCAGGGAGGACTGGGTGAGCCCTTCAGCTGGACTAAGAGCACAGAAAACAGGCAGATTAGTTTTAAATGCACGATCCCATTCTTCACATTGAAGGATTTGTGTAAAATAGCATTTTTAATTACCAGGAGAAAATTCCACCTTCACTGTCACACAGATTCAGTGCAAGAGTACACCAGTACTGCTTCTCTCATCAGGCAGCTCAGCTGTATCAAAAGATGATGAGCTGAACTATTGTCAGTATAATAACATTTGCACTACTGCAGTTTAAAACTGGTAACAAAGGGGGAAAAAAAAAAAAAAAAAGGTTTGTTAATCCATTTTATATACAGAAACGTGTTTGCTTCCTTCTAAAGTCAGGAAAAAGGCTGCATTTCACTACAGCCCACTGACTGACAGGACACAAACAGTCCTAAGCTGAAGCACGTAACTATGAAACAAGGAAGAGACGTGAGCCTCACCAGCAAGCTGAGTTTCATTGTCCAAGCAGAATGAAATGCAAACAAAAGAGCATAATTGGTAAAAAGTCAGCCAGCGTTTTCCCCATTGTGACTAATAACATGAGTGAAAACAGTTTTCAGGATATCAGTATACCTTCAGGAAATGATGCAGAAAGAAGGAATAGGATTTATTTATACAGTCACCCATCAAGGTAACAGATGAGACAGAACGTTCTTACACTCCTTTGGATCTGTACATCTAGACTTTAAGATTTCAAGACCAGAACTGATTCTTCTGAAGCGTCCCAAGAGACTCTGGCTGAAGCCAGTAGGCCTGAATGTGATTTAAATGCTTGCGTATAGAAAGGACAAATGTAATTAAAAAGAGAGAGAAACAGAGATGCTAAGAAAACAGAATGTTGTACAGCAGAGATGTTAAAGAACCGAGGGAAAGCAGGCTGCCCAGTAAAGCACTTATGTTCACTGACATTTTATTGCAACTCATGACTGAAAACTTTCAGTGTTCAGCACATCAGAATCCACGCTCCAAACACAAACGGCCTTCATTTTTCTTTTAATTAAATTCATCATATATATATATAGGCTGCATGTAAACTCTCCCCAGCCTCACACGTTTGTGTGAAAGTCTTTCAAAGCAGCTTCTCTAGGGCAGGTTTCAAACTGCATTATTTCTCTTGCAGCAGCATCCAACCCCACTCTTAGAAGACCAAAACAGCACTTTGGTCACTGCAGTTCAGTCTGTCAGTCAGAGTTTAAGCACTGATAATAGTTACACAGAGCTTGTCCAAATCCCTTGTGGCAGATAAGGTCCAGCTGATGGTCTGGTGATGGTCTGCCACCACATGAGTCTGCTGGTTATGCTGTGGTACAAGCTGGAAACTGTTCTAGATATGGGTTTATCAGTAATTACAGCTTTTCAATGTGAATTTACACAAGAGTGGCATAAGAACATAAACATAACATACATAGAGTTAGCTGATGTGATCAGTAGTTCACAAACCATCTAGCCAACCTTCTTTAAAGCCTACCCCAAACACCAGCAGTTCACAAGCCACATATTGAATACTATCCAGCATACTTATCTTCCCAGTTTAAAGCTAATTGTTGCTTTAAGTGGATTTCTAATCCCTAAGCAAACGCAGTCAGTCTTCCAGGAGACACAGGATGTGGGGGCACAGACAATACAAAAAAAAAAAAAAAGAAAAAGCAGACAAACAGAAAAATCCCAACAATGTTAATTTTTGAAAGAAGAAAGGATGAGAAATTCCAAATGCAAGAGTTGGGTGGTTGGTTTTCTGCTTTATTAAGAGAGTAAGAACACGAGTGAATGAGGATACAACCAATCTTTGGCCCCAGTGTGGTTCCTGCACGGCTGTGCTTTCTGCAAAGCTTTTCTCTCAGTTATACAAACGTCAGCCTCAGGACAACAGATTCTGTTACAAATGCAAAACCAATTTAGAACTCAAAACTCCAGCGATTGACACATCCGTGCGACAAAGCTCTGAGGAAAAAGAAAAGGTTCTATTCAACAAGGTTTCCTCCCAGAGCTCTGGGCCAAGAGGTTCTACATAAAAATCACCTGGAAAGCGAGATGATTAAAGGGACAAAGTAACGTGGAGAGCGAGAGAGGCGGTAAGGAGAAGGTCAGAGCGCCTACCTTGGAAGTGGCCGTGGCATTGGCTGTCGGCCGTGCTCCAGAGCCGCGCCGTGCCGTCCTCGCTGCCCGTCAGCAGTCGCTGCCCGTCGGGGCTGAGGCTCAGCCAGTTGATGCCTCCCTGGTGATCGGCGCACACTTTCACGGCCGAGCCGCTGTTCCCCATTGCCGGCGCTGCCCACGATGGCTGCGGGTCAGCAGGTCGCCTCGCAGCCCCTCGCTCCGGGCCTCATCTCCCACCGACCGCCTTCAGCCACGCACCTCACAGCGGGAAAGGCGGCTGGGGGACACAGAGCAGGGGACGGGGTCTCGTTGAGTCATTGTATCTCCTCCGTGGATACACCGCTTTTCTCAGTCGGGACGCTCCAGAGCACCTCTTTCTCCGCATAAAAGCCCTACGGCGGAAGACCGCGGGGCCTCCCGTCGCCTTCCATCGCACCACCGGCACAAGGGCACGTCCGATCTCCGGGACGGCACCGAGCCCTCCCCGGCCACCCGCCGCCCCGCACTGCGGCACGCTTCTTCTCCTTCAGCCTCCTCAACTCCGACCGGCTCAGACACCGGCGGCTCCCGCCCTCGCCCCCCGCGTCCGCCCGCACCCCTCACGTCCGCCGCGGTCAGCCCGCAGCGCCCCGCAGCCCCCCGGCCCCGCCGCCATCCCTCGCCCTCCCGCCCGGCCCACGGCATCTCCGCCCTCGCCGCTCGCTCACCGCCCCGGACGCGGCTCCGGGCTGCAGCGGGACGGGGGAGCCGCCCCCAGCCGGGGCTGCGCGGGGAGGGCCGAGGCGGACGCCGCGCTCCCCTCGGGCCACCCCGGGGTGGGTCCCCGACGCCGGCTCTCCTCCCTCCATGTTAGAGCCGCTTCCCCGGGGCGGGACGGCGCGGCCTCCCCTCTCCCCAGCCCGTGCCGCTCCCTCGTTTTGTGCCCCCTCCGCCTGTCTTTCTTTTTTTTTCAGGCATCCCCTCTTCTCCTGCCTCCCCTTACCGCCTTTCGGTTCCCCGGCTTTCCTTCCTCGGGGAGGCTCCAGCCCTCGGCTGTCTCAGCCCCGTGCTCCCCGGGAGAGGAGGGAGGGGGCGAGCTGGGGGCTGGCTTTGAGGGAAGCCATCGCCTTTTGTTCCTCCTCTCGCCCTCATCCCTGAGGATGAGCTGCGGCTGAGCTGCTCCTCAGGAGGACACCAAAAATTCTGCACGTTGCCAAAATGTTGAGGGCTGTTGCTCATTAGTGCGGTCCCTCTCTCCCTTGGGCAAGCCAGACTGGCAGCAGAGCCCCTGCCTCCATAATATCACAGAACGATTACTGTTGGAAAAGACCTCTAAGATCATCAGATCCAACCCATCCCACTGACCGCGTGCCACAGTGCCGCATCTCCGCAGGTCTGAAACAGCTCCAGGGACGGTGACTGCACCACCCCCCTGTGCCACTGCAGCACCACTCCTTCTGAGAAGCAGCTTTTCCAAAAATCCAACCTGAACCATCCCTGGCACATCTTAAGGCCATTCTCTCTCATCCTATTGCTGTTATGTGGGAACAAAAGCCGACCCCCACCTCACCACAACCTCCTCTCAGGCATTTGTAGAGAGCACCCTCTGCAGATGTAGAGAGCTCTGTTGTGAGCAAAGCCTTTTCCTCTCCACAATGAACAACCCCAGCTCCCTCAGCTGCTCCTCATCACACTCATTCTCCAGCCCCCTCACAGCTCAGTTGCCCTTCTCTGGACATGCTCCAGGGCCTCAATGTCTTCTTATTGCAAGGAGCCCAACACTGAACACTGTATTCAGGATGGTGTCCTCACTGGGTCCAAGTACTGAGGGATGACACCTCCCAACTCCTGCCAACTACAGTCAGTCTGGCCACAAATCCACACTTTGTCTGGCTGTAGTCATGCAAGCCCTGGGCTATGGGGTGATGGCACGCTACTGCTCCAAAATGGGGCTCAGCTGCGCTAGGAGCAGCATGAAACACAAGTGGGATGGGTCCTGTCTCATCACAGTGTAATTCAATGTACAAAAGACAAACCTGGCAGACAGAGAACCCACAGCAAGCCCATGGCAGGGTCTGATGCAGATCCCATTGCTCTAAATTGACGACTAACAAATGGGCAGCACCTGTGCTGCTAAAAACACACCTGCTGAGTAGGGTACGTAGCAAAACCCACTTTCTCTAGTCCCCACTCAGTTCAATCAGAGAAGTGCCTTTTTGCATCCAGCCCTTGGGCCTGCTGGCTCCATTTCAGGTTGTCACGTTCAGTCCTGAGGTTTAGCAAACACTGAACAAGGCAGCAGGCTCATTCCTGCATGATGTATTTCAGTGTGTGGGTTGTACAGAAATGCAGCCATTAAATGTATGCTTAATGGGATACTTTATTTTGCACTGCGCATTCTGGCAGACATAGAACAGAGCTGCTACATCCCAGCCAACACCACCACGAGATGCTCCTGGTTCTGCTGCCCACTGTAAGCACACGTCCTGTATGGCACGTTGTCTCCAGGCAGCTCTTTTCTGAAGAGAAACATGTCTGCATTTCTGCACCATTCCCAGGCTTGACACTGTGTGCTCCATAGCTTTCAATGTGAGACATGAGCACTGGATTTCTTTCCTCTGAAAATCATGTTATCCATGGAAAGACATTCTTTTGAATGTGTTGGCCTAGGAATCAGCTGTGCTCAGGGAGTGTCCCTCACCATCTGCTCGTACATCTGTCAAATCCACTCACAAACCACTGCACGGAGTCCCCATTTGGGAAACTGGAGGATAGATAAGCACTCCTTATTTTTCCTGCACTGCAGTGATGTGAACATGGGGGAAATTTGGATTTCATCTTTTATTCTAGTTAGCAAGGAGAGGCAAATGCCACCCAAATAAAGAATTTGGGATTCAGATAGTTTGTATTGTCTTTTGGAAGGGGAGGGTTACCTCCATCCTTTACCTGGGGTCCAACATTTGCAGGTTCTTTTCCATTGAGAGAGAGGCTGTGGATGCTCCATCCCTGGAGATGCTCAAGGCCAGATTGGATGGGGCCCAAGGCAGCCTGGTCTAGTATTAAATGGGAAGGTTGGCAACCCTGCATGCAGCAGGGGGGTTGGAGCTTAAGAATCCCTGAGATCCCTTCCAACCCAAGCCATTCTGTGGTTCTATGGTTCTATGAAGTGAGTGAATTGGGACCTTTGTCTTTAAAACATGCTTTCTTTGCACCATAGCTTGTACTCACAGCTTGATCCACTAACAAGACACTATGGGGAGACTCCTCAAATCACCCCAAGACACGGTCAGGTGGAAAAGCCTCTACCAGCCAACTTCATTCAAATTATTGGTTTTCAGGGTCCTCCTCAGGGGGGTCCTCAGGGTCCCCTTCAGATATATTACGTAGGCTTCATTTTATGTGTGGCTGCACAATGAGAATGCTGAAGAACCTTTCCCTTGATAAGATTGGAATAATGATGCAAATGATTTCAAAATGTGATGGATGTCATTTGTGGCAGAGGAAACGCAGGCAGCTCTTCCAGCTCCCCCTTCCCAGGCTTTGGTGATGTGGATGGAATTGCAATGGCGTTCAGCAGACTACAAAGGCACTTTGTTGTGTCAAAGAAGTGGGGCCCATAATACCTCAAAGAAGTCAGCACCAGAGCTCCACTCACCCCAAAAACAAAAGAATAAAGTGTGCAGCAATGCAAATGATCTCCCATTAGAGAATTCACTCCTCCCAGCATCCAAACCCCTCCACATTCCCACAGAAGGACTGCTATGGCTGCCAGCCTGTTTCACCAAACCCTATATAGCTCTGCTTCAGGCTATCAACCCCAATCACCATCAGATTTGCTGATAATTAAGTATTGCTTCCTCTTTCTTTACCTCAGAAAATCACAAAAGCCAACTAACTCTCCTGGAACTACTGTCAGGGTCCCGGAAAATTGATACTGGCATATCCTGCACTGCTTTTTCATTTTAATATCAACCACATCATTAGAGTGAATGAGAACTGCCGACCTCAAAGGGCTGTGTGGTATCTCCAGTAGCACAGTTCCCCACAGAGGAAACCTAATCTGTGCTAAGAATATTTCTCCTCTAGGGTTCAATTTGATTTAAAATTGATCTAGTTACACCAGTACAGTGTAAATAAAATTCAACCTTAAGTAGATTCCAATGTAGCTTCTACTGATTCGATTTAATTCAAAATGTTCTCAATGTCTGAACAGCTTTGCTTGCATGAAGAGCTGGCGTTGGTGAAGGCAGATTTATTTTTATATGGATTTAATTAGCAGAGCTTGTGCAGATGTAGCTTTACTCCGAAGTGAGAAGGTTAGCATGGCTTCTTCATTAATACAAGGCCACATGATGCTCCACAGCCCCATCCAGTGCTACTGTTGGAAGGGAAGGGTGAGCTACGCTCTCCTTCTCTGCCCTTCATCCTTTAGAAGGCCCAACAACAGCAACATTCAACTTTTCCTGGCAGAGCTACTCTGCAGCTTAAAGATGGGCACAGAGCTCAGTGTTAGAATGCAGCAGCATAGCACCATAGGATAAAATGTCTTCATTTCCCAGCCCGATGCCACAAGTATGGGGGCAAGTCGATGGAAGCTGGATAGTTCACAATTCTGAAAGGAAATACCTTTTAGGCAACATGTAATCAGTCTGTGGAACTCATTGCCACAGGATGCTGTTACGGCCAAGAGTTTAACAAAGAAATTCCCGAACAATTCATAGCAGTAGGATCCTGCCAGGCCTCAGGATTTATCCTAGACCACCACGTAGCTCTCAAACCATGGGAGGCCTTGTGCCCGAGTCGTAGCACAGGGAAGGCTGTGATCATGCATTACATCTGGGCTGTGTGTGATATTGCTCAGGGCCTCTTGGAAAGCAAGGCTTGGTTTGATCCCCAGACCATCTGCAGTCTTCTTGCCACGGCGATGTCTACACGTGGGACTCTTTGGAGCACTCCTCTCACCACTCAGATTGGAAGATCTGTTGGAGTGGCCTCTCTTCCCATGCAGGCAGCACAGGAGGGATGCTGCGTGCCTGCAGCTCTCACCATGGTGCCTAATGGTTTGTAGGTGGAGCGCAGAGCCAGGCTTTACACTGCAAAGTGTGTGAGGTACGGTTTGGGAAAAGGAGTGAAGAAACTCATGTGGAGGTACACAGATAACTACAGTATTGGCAAACTGTATTAAGAAACACCAAAAAACATTTTGGAAAGTACATTGACCCTCCCCATTCGCCTGCTCTGGAATTCCTTGCATTTTCCCAGGGTCATCCAAAGGCCTTTGGAGGCTCTGGGCACAGAACTTGTATGTGCAGCTCTGCACACAGTCTGAAGCTATCCTTTCAGACTCAGCGTTCGCCTCCTTCTGAACCCTCTGCAATTGGCCTCTGTTACAGGCAATGCTGTACATGCCATTGAAAGTCCTCCCTTTCCCCATATAAGCGCAGGTCCCTTGCAGCTAAAAGTGTCCCAGAGTGCTCAGAAGTTTTGCATGGGTGTAAAGACTTAGCAAGTTGTCCCTACAGAATAAAAGATGGTTTCAAACTGTCACGTAGCCCAGGATTTCCTGTAAACATCTGCAAAGTTCTTTCGCTTTTTAATCAGATCTGAAGCAGTGGTTTCAAAACAGTTCTTTCAAAAAATGCTTGGTTTTCTAGGTTTTCTGTTACTGCTGTCACATAAAAGCCTGCTAAACTCGATGCAGTTCTGCTTTCCCCTGCTACGTTCCCCAGGTGGGTGCATTACCCCTTATCAATGTCGGGAACGTGAAAACCTGAGAGCTGGAAAATGAAGAGGTATTCAGAAATGGTGATGGTAATATTGCTGCCTGATACAAATGGGTTCTTGGTAGCTCCCCCCTGTCAGCAATGGGAGGTTAGCCATGAACTCTGAAGGGGGTTGAATTAAATTTTTGCTGTGATGAACTGATAGCTTAAAAACTGCTGCAGTGAAGGAATCTTATCTCTCTGGCTAGGAAAGCAGAAGTCATTTCCTAGACGTTTTTAAGATGCTGCATGCCAGGGGATGTAAGATCTTTACTGTAAACAGCCTTACTGTAAGCAGCTTTCCCCTCACAAAGTCTGTAGATGGCAAAGACCTTCCATCACGTCACTGTATAGTGGGAACGTTACAAATATTTACAGAATTACAAAATAATAGCAAAAAGCTCATTTTCCCCTGCTCCCTACTTTGATGGGAGCCCTGCTGTTCCTTCCAGACAGTAAGCTGGCCTCTTGCCTAGACCATATATCTCTTCTGACAGGCTCCTTAAGGACCACATCTCAATGGAAGCCAAAAGAAATATATCTTACTAAGTGACACAAGAGTAACTTTCTGAGCCTTATTCTGAGGCCGTTTTAATTGATTTTGCACCGAAACAGCTCTGCTGGCTTTGACTGCACTAATCCAGAGTTGTACTAATGCAGGCAGAGACCCAGTGCCCCTGACATTGGTGCAGAAACAAGATTTTAAAAACGCAGAAGTT